CACTTCGTGTATGAAACGCCCTGTTTCATGAGTCCTATACTCATGAATTGAGTAAGCCACCTGTTTTCAGGGTCGATGTTTGCATTTGACCTTTGCTGAGGTGGTTAATGTTAAGTGAGCAGCAGGCAAATGTTAACTTGTTTACGGAATATGTAGTGTCAACTTCATTTTGAATATCGAATACCTTTTTTTGGAGATTCGAAACTCATTATGATTTTCGAACCCCTTTGTTTGGTACCCGAAACTCATAATGAGTTTCGAATACCTTTTTGTGGGGGTTCAAAACTCATAATGAGTTTTGGGTCCCTTTTCGGCCTTCCAAATCTCATAATGAGTTTTGGGTCCTTTTTTGGAGTTTCAAAACACATGAAGAGAGCACAGTATGTATGTCGCCACGATCAAGCGTCTTTGCCATAGAAAAACACTCACTATCTTGAAGTCGCATTAAGTATGTTAAAGTTTGCAGGATGTTGCCTTCTCATTTGCGCTTTATTACTAAGTAATTTAATCTCATTACCGCAGCGTAATCCGTGACAGCTTCACCAATGGTAGAGAATTGGACTTTACAGATCGAACTCATGAGAATTGTTAAAGCTACATCTATTTGTATGATTTACCAAGATCGTATCGATTTTTCACTACCGAAAACAGTCCAGTTTATATCATCCAGAAGATGAATTGCGGTACATAGGTAACATAGAGCGTCCATGCGCATGCAGCAGTGGAAATGGCATTCTCATATTGATTTGCCCAGTAGCGGGAACATGTTTACTAGAAAATTAGACGGGTGGTCAATGTTTACCCAGTGGCAAGTAAATGTTTTCTTGTTGACCGGGGGTCAATGTTTACCCCGTGGAAAGTAAATGTTTACTTGTTGACGGATATTTGGACTAAACAGGCGGAGTGCTGTGATAGGTTGCAATACTTTGAGTTTTTCAAAAATTCAATGGCTTCTTTTGCCCCTACTGTAATTGCGTTTATTGAGAATTGTAATAAAATCACGGTGCATATCGCGTATGATAGAAAACTTTATTTACAACCAGGGAGAACCGGCGCTCCCTCGGGGATCGAGGGGTATCGGAGTTCACGAAACCACAAACTCAGGGCCATTCCATTCATCGTGATTGGCAATCATGCAATCACGCAATCACGCAATCACGACATTAATTTAACGTCGTTCTGCATCGTTCCTTTCTCCAACGTGTTCTACTTGTAGTTGTAAGCACATTTCCACGGCTTTGCATGTGCATGTGTTAACGCACTTCTTGCTTATTTGAATGGGGTTTAAATCTTTTAGAATTGCAAGGAGCATTACAGGAAGTTGGAGCACAAGATTAATTTTAAGTCGATTATTTATTTCTTTAATGAGCATGACCATTTTTTAGGAAACGTAATATAAACAACCAACGACAAGGGAGCAGGCACCATTTATTGACGTGATTGCGTGATTGCCAATCACGATGAATGGAATGGCCCTCAGCTGCCGACTGCTGACACGTGCACTGGTGTTTTCAAAAGATCCATTTCCTCCTTTACACAGGCCTGTCTACACCGAATAGGGTAATTAGTCTAGTCTACAGTATTTCCGTACGGTGTTTTTCGAGGAACACATCATTATTGGTGCAGCCTACACCATTTGAAGTACTACACTATTTACAAGTTGTACAAAAATAATGAAGTCTACACTATTTCAAAACGTGCTAAATAGTGAAGCCTAAACGACACGTCATTGTCTTCATATTTTCGAAAGTTCGAAAATACGGGCTTTTAAACGCTGTTACGTTTTGCACAATTTGAAATTCACAGCAAGCAGGGCATTGTGGGTAAGAATCAGTCCTCACAGGCACAGTTGAGACTTTTATCGTCTGAACGACTATATTGTACTGGCAGCCTGAAGCGTCACACGAACGTTCTTCGGGAAGCTGTGTACGTCAAACAAGGTCCTTAGCACCCTCTTTCACGAACAACAATATAGTGAGCTGACCATAATGAAGCCGTTACCTCATCTACGTGTTCACTGTAGCAACTGAACGGCTTAATACCTGTTCTTTATTCGTAAGCTGAGGTGATAAAAGTTAGCAGCCTTGCCTCCAAAACGTATAAGAATCACTGTAGCATTAACACTCTTTGTGTCTGTCCCATCGAGAACCCGAGACAACATCCTGCAATACGCCGATCCCGAGTTCTTCCCAGATTGTCGCTTTCTTGCAGCAAGCTGTATCAAACGCCCAGAACGTTGCTCCGACACCAGACCTCGTCCCATCGGATGCTAACACCACAGATACGGTCCCTTCTCCCTTAGTGCCCACGCAAGCAAAAGAGTCTGCACCACCGTCCAACTGCAAACGCGCATTGCAACAGGTGGTAACAAAGAGAGACAGGAAGAATGTCGTCAAGTGGATGGACCAACAGCTCACCGATGGTACGCCAATCAAAAGATTGATGGCACGTACAGTACCACACTTCCCGGCGCTTTTCTCAGCGTCAGAGAATGCCAACATCATCAAGGCCATGCCCTGGTGGAAAGACAAGGAAGTCATACTGCATGAGGAGGAATATGCGTATCTGTCTCATCGAGCAACAAGGAGACAGCGGGGTGGTTCTGTGGAGAGCGCATTAATTAATGCGGGTAGAAGAAAAGTCTTGTGCAAGGTCAGGAAAGGACGTGGGCGAAAAATGGAGTCGTGGAATATTGCTCTCCAAGATGCTCTGCGGGTTGAGTTTGAGAGACTGTCGAATGTGGGAATGAAGTTCTCGTCTCGGTTGATAGGCGTGGTGGCCCGAGATCTGATCCGTGTCCTTCAGTCGAAAGCCAAGCTGCCGAATGTCAACGGAGGGGGCGTGCAACTTTCTACGCTTATTAATTCAGGGTGGGTGCAGCGATTCATGGAACGTCATAATATTGTGTCGAGGAGACAATGCGGCAAGCTCATGATGAGCCCGGCAAAGCAAGTAGTTTATCGAGAAGCAGGTCGCTTTTCATCTGGGGTGTGTGAAGCGTGAATTTGAGAGTGGTCTGCTCGATGAGGATTTGGGGCACAATTTCGATGAGACGCACTTTATTATCAACCTCGACGACGGTAAAACATTTGGCCTTTGTGGAGCTCAAGAAGTGATGTATGCAGATGTTACGTCTGGGGGACAGGGCATGACTATGCTAGTGAGACTTACCGGTGGACGAAATGCTCAAATCATGACAGCCTTTTTGATATTTCAGAATGCTAATCGCAGTTATCCTATCCGAGGCATTGTCGATGATGTACCGGGGGCTTGTTACAGGACACCGCCCAAAGAATGGATGGATAGGGATGTGTTCTTACAGTGGCTACAAGAACCCAGGGCGATATCGCGAGATCCTTTTGGCAGGACAAGGACTATTTTTTTAGATAATTGTGCGGACATGGGGAAACGGTAGAGCAGAATTTTGCTTTGGAGGCTTTGAAGTGCTCTTTGAGATTTTTACCTGCAAATTCTACGGATCTTTGTCAGCCGTGTGACAGTTTTGTGATACAGAAGCTCAAGGACAGGGGGGTCTCTCTATGGGATGGCAAGAAGGCAGAGTTATTGCACAGCCCTGAGTGGTTGCAAGGGAAAGGCGCTGGCAGGTTGCCCAATCTAGGAAAAAGGTACTTCCTACAGTTGGCAGCGAGGGTAGTGCGTGGCGTTAACCAAATGCGCGACGAGAATGGCGTTGGGTACGCTCGCAAGGCCATGATTCGTTGTGGTCTTTCACTGGACCTGAATGCCCAATGCAGGGTCGAGCAACTGTTTCCTCATTTAAGGAAATAATCAAGCGTCATACTGAGCACTTCGAAGGCGCCCCAGTGGAGGGATTGTTTGTGAGTGCAGCATAGTATACGTTCTACAGTTTAAGAGCCTTGCTACATTTTCTCTTAGATTTTAATGAAAAATAAAGGTTACATCAATTGCAGTCTGTTCCTTTATAGTGAAGCCAACACTATTTTTTTTTGGGTGGAATTTGACGCAGTCAGAATACTGTAGCCTGCACTAATTCAGATGCTTCACTATTTCAGCACCAACACTAAGAGCATCTCCACCGCATGGGCAAATTGTTTCTATATTTGGACACTTGTCAGACTCCCACATGGGCATTGGTTTTGCGCATTCCGTTTGCGAAAGTACCACAAATCGCCGTTGCGCAAATCGCGTCGCGGTCTCCACCGCGCACTGCGTCGCACCCGCCCCCGATCCGCGCCCAGACTTCCCGCGCCCCGACTTCTGGGCCGCCCCCCACCCCGACCAGCAGGACACAAAGCCGAGGTCCAGTTCGTCGACGCTGACCTCTTCCACCCAGACTTGTCCTCGCCGCCCGAAGCGTACCCGGCCGCGTCGCCACCCACGCCTTTGCCAGATGGTCGAGTTCAGTTAGCCCCCTCCACGCCCGCGGACTCCCATAATAAATGAGTGTTAACGCGTGCACAATGTCTGCGTGCGGGTGGATGCGGGCATGTGCAGTGCGAGCATAGACCGTCCACTGCGCATTTGGCATGCTCAGACGTTTTGGGCGGGTCAGGTGTACCCGTGGCTTCCCGCGTTCTTGCTGTTTCGGTGTCTAAAAGTAACAAAAAATCAGCCCGTTCAAGCAGAGGAGTGTTGCCAAAAAATGGGATTTGTGACGTGACGCGCCACAAAATCAAAAAATATGTGTGCCGTCAAGACACAAATCCTATTTATCATACGATTTGTGAAACAGATTTGTGTGCAGATTTGCGCGGTGGAGACCAAACTCAAGCCTGAGTCGCCATATTTTAGAAATGGCCACAATTTGCCTGCGCAGTGGAGATGCTCTAATTACTCTATTCGGTGTAGCTGCAGAAATACTAGAGGGAATGCTTCACGGGCTTGGGGTTCGGATCCACTGCACTCTACGTCCCCTGTAGGGGTATGTTACTTTGCATCGCGCCTACCCGCCTTCGTAACTTTCTGTACTGCTGGTGCGGAGCTAGAAGCTCCGTACTCCTCGCGGCCACCCTCCTGGAATGCGCCATTGGCGTCTGTGGCTCGTCTTCTTCCTCGTCCTGATCCAGGCAACTCCAGTTTACCCTGTTTCTGACTCTGCACGTCTCGTGGAAACTACCTTCTCTTTCGTTGTGGCTTCTCAACCCCTCAATGAAGAAGCCGGTGTCGAATGTCCCGAAACTGTCCGCCACACATCCATTCGCACCTACACCGGCATCGACCCCGCTAACGCATCCGCAGCACTGGATGGCATCTTATGGAAAGACCTAGTTGTCAACGGTGTCCCTTGTCTTAATTCCCCTGCCCAAGAAGCCTCTACGTGTTTCAAAGATAGCCCGTCTTCCCCGCCAGACACACCAGCCGCCCAAGCCGAGCCATTTTTTCTTGTCGGACAAGATAATGCCGCCCGCCGCTGTGGGCCATTTGCTGCAAAATTCCCTGCAAATTACTCTTTCACAAATGATTTCCCACGTTTCAAGCAACGCTTCATCGACGAGAGCATCATACCATCCAACTCAGAACTCCCTGATGAAGTCGCCAACCCGATCCGCGGCGACATTTACATGTTGTCACGACAGTTTTCTCCCAGTTCCAGTGCAGTCCAGTCGCAGATTGTCTGTACTTATCTCGCCGCTACCCCTACATCAACACCTGAGATGACACCTTCTATGACAGAAGATGATGGATCAGTGTGCTTCCCGGCGTGGGCAACCGTGCTAGACGATAAGAATCGAATTGTTCAAATGAAGCACCTTCGTCTTGGCGATCGTGTTCAAGTCTCTGCCTCTGGACAAACATCTCCAGTTATATCATTTTCGCACCGGGACCATGAAATATGGACCACAGTGAGCACAATCCATGTATCAGGTCCGCCCGGTGGCCTAGGATCTAACCGCACAATTCTGTCCGCATCACCTTCACATCTTCTCCGCCTCCCTGATGGCTCAATGCATCCAATTGGGGCACTACGTCAGGGTGACAGCGTCCTTCTTTCTGGCGGACACATTGGTCGTATCGGGCGTACATCGTCCAAACTTGCAAAGGGTTTGTACAGTCCTGTCACAGCCCATGGGGATATTGTCGTGAATGGAATAGTGGCGACTTGTTACACAACATCGTTGAGAGCAGAAGTCGCCCACGCGCTGCTTGTCCCTGTCCGAGCCTTATTCCATACGGCGACTAGGGCATCTTTTGGGCGACCGGAATGGTGCGCTGTAATCGACCTATTCCGAAAAGCGTTTTTTTCGTGACGGATCAACGAATGGAGAACATTTAGCACTGCAAGTTGCATATTCTGGAGCATCTCATGCCGTTATTCCTAAGAAGGATTTGTGCTCTGAGCAGCAAGTTATGACGAAGGTGGCATCGCAGTGTATCTAGGAATCACCAAAGTCTATCTTGGTGATAGCTGCCCACATGGTGCAGGCTTGTCATTACGATCAATCTCTCCCTGCACGGGGGTCGCTCGCAATAAGTAGATTTGGTCGGGTGAAGAATTCAGGCAGGCTTTCGCTTTTATTTACAATCGTGTTTCTTCCTGCGGATTGTTTCCATCGACGCTACAAGCGTTGGCAATGAACACCACATCGCTTCACGGCACGTTCTTGATTGTCACTTTCAACCTATCCAGCAGCCAATATCCTACACTTTTTTCTCCCCAGATCCGAGTGAGACATCGAGAGAAATCCTCTGGTTGGATGATTGAACGGTAAGCCATCGCTGATCAGAATGACTTCAATGGCTACTGGAGACACGATGGACTCGAGCGCAATCGCAAAGAGTTCTGAGATTTCCATTAGCGTGGAAGCAGTAATCTCGTCATTAGCGCTGTCTTTGTACCGGATAAAGAAATCGCTTTGAATCCCGAAGATATGTCGCACATCTTCAATAAAGTATTCCGGTTGGCGATCAGGGTTCAAACTGAAACGCCTCGTTACTACAGATCCGCTAATCCGGCATGAAGCCTTCATGGCTACACCCGACCTCACTGAGGTATCGCGTGGATGATGTCGATCAAGTGTCCAGCTCCTGCCTCGACTTGCTGCGGCACGATTCTTTAACAGAGAGGCGTCGATGATGCGTGAGGGGGCGGATCCTGCTCGGTAATCGATGTTGAAACCATCAGAACAGGTCAAGACCGTGTTTGAGATCTTTTGATATCCACGGCTCGACTCTGGGACGAGCCGATGTTGGGGTACAGTCGCTGCTTCCTCTTTCACTCTTGGCGAGCTAACAGGACAGGAAGCACCGTTTCGAACTGACGAGAACGGGCTAGTGCCGGTAGCGAAAGTATTCTTACGACGTTGAACTGTTTGGAACTTGAAAGGCATGTGATGTTGTCGAGATACGTCACGAATTTGGCATTGCAATGTCCTTGTTGTTAGAATTGTCGCCGTCTCTCGTGCTTTGCCCAACCACGGTTTTGTGATGGGTCGCGTTAAATCACGTTGCATTCCCTTCAAATGAAACCCAACGTGGTCTACGCGGTACCCACCAACTGCGCAGCACACTGTAATGGATCCGCTCGAGTCTTTATACAGCGGTAGCTCCCGACAAATATATCGGCGATGACATGGCAAACAAAGGGTTTTTGGGCCGTCTGGACCAAGTCGCGGGTCTCGGCAGACTTCACTGCACCGAAGACAGGACACATCTGCTGGTTCGGCTTCAGAGATAATTTCGCCGTCAGTGTCTTTCAAGACTTTCTTCTCAGCTGGTGGGTCGACGAATTCAGTGAGTGGCATAAGAAAGTTGTTATGTCCTGACTGTTTAGTACCAAAGCCGACTATCTTGGCTGGTTTTGTTCCTTTCTTTTTCAGCACCGAACAAATTCCTTTTCTGTTCTTGTATATGACGATACGACGCTTGCGATATTCGGAATGGCAGTGCGCACACAGAGTCTTAAGTCCATCTGGCCCCGATTGCCATCTTCTCGTCTCCGTTGTTCTGCACTTGAGACAAGACTTGGTTTCAGGCTTGTTGCCGATGTACATGGATGACAAGAAAAAGTGTCGGAGATATGATGATACTCGGCAGGGAGTCTACAAAGAGTAGGGGCGAGGGTGGGTTAGGGGAAGAAGTGAAGAAGCTACGGATAAGGGACTACTGAATCTGCTGTGCACAGAGCGAAAGGCTGCAACCCCAAATCAGGAGCATAAACGGCGGCGTGGCCATTGTGGTCCGAATAGCGGAAATTTAAAGGCAGCACACGATGGCTTGATTTGCACTTCAAGCTTCAAAGCTTTGATAAGTACATCTCTGCTCTCCACTCCTTGATCTGACCTGTGATAGGCTGAACACTGTACCCTTGGGTACTGTGTGAGATCTGCGCCAGAGCTCACTTTGCTATCACGCGGCGGTGGAATATAGTGCGGAATCTTCCGGCAGTGCGGCGGGTACAGCAGCTTGAAAGGCACGAAACCCTTCTCCCTTGGGCTTCCTGCAGAAGCTTCATTCGCGGAATACTTCGTACTTCGAACGCTGACAGATCTCCGTCCTTGATAAAGATTGCAGTGGGGCCGATGAGGAAAAGGAGCAGAATATCCAACAATACAAAAGTATCACGGATTGCTTGTACTCATCGGCGTACTGCTCCATGGCGAGACACGACCTACAGAGGGGGGCGCTTGGTATTCCTGTTGACACATGAACCACAGATCAGTCTTAACTTGGCAAGAGCCTTTCTGATAATAGAAGCAGGTTTGTCGGTGGCGGGCAGGCTGCCTTGGCTACATGATCATAGTGTTTGACATTTTCAAACTGTTGAGTCTCGCGCTTTTGGGCAATTCCCTTCTACGTAGTGTCGCGACTATTGTACTGTAGCCTCGACGACTACAGGGGACGGGGGGTACGCGAGACAATCAGAGTTCAGACTGCCCCGTATCTAAACCAAAAAATATAGTTTCGGAGAGAAAATCATAGCGTGTGATAAAGAAGGAAATGTGAGAGACCGCCCTGCAGTACAGTACCCTTGGTACAACGTGCTCTGGAATGGGGAGTGCGGAAAATCAATCTTGGTACAGTAACAGGGGTAGGATTCGGAAAGGCTTCCGCCGAGAATTTTGAATGAGAGGTTCAATGGGAATTCTTCGAATATGTTTCTGACAGGCCCCAGGAGATATTTTCTCTCTCGTTGGATGGGGATGAGAAGAGGCCACTGACAGGCACCTCCACCAGGGCAAAAAAATATCAGGGAGCAAGAGAGTTTGGACTCCCCCGCTGGGGGAGTCCAAACTCTTTTGGTGCACTTCAATAATTGCTTGTTCTTAACATCTTATGGGATGGCCCCTCACTGTCCTAGTGTGTATCCGACCGGGGCTTGTTCTCATATTTGTCTCTCTAGCTAGGCTAGTGTCTAGACGACAAGCAATTTGACCTCATATCCGTCAGTCATGGCCTCATATGAGGCCAGCTTTTTTTTGCAAAAATATATAAATTAAATCGAAACTTTAAAACATTCAGTTTGGACACCATTTCTTTAACGTATACGCGCTCGGCAATAACATCTTGCAAAACATTGGGATGGCGGTTGTCAATGCACAGAGAGACTAAGAATCTAATGAACTATCAATGATGAGTTGACTTTTTAAACAGGCGTTTTGGTTTCGAAGATATCAACATAAAACGTTTTGAGGTTGGTCAAAAAAGGCTCCTTTTTGGGCATTTTAAAAATGGCTGGAGAAGACATGCAGATCTCACCAAACTCCACCCTTCAACAACGCAGAAGTCAACTGCCGTGTTGAGAGTATCTTTTTTCCATCTTGTTGAGCTAGCACAAGTCGAGAAAAATAAGTTGAAAAGTGACCTCATATGAGGTCATTTGTCACCTAGACACTAGACGACAAGCGATTTGCTTCTTATGCGGCCAGCTTTTTTTGCACAAATATATATATTAAATCGAAACTTTATAAAGTCAGTTTGGACGCCATTTCTTTAATGTACACACCCTTGGCAAGAACATCTTGCAAAATATTGGGAGAGCAGTTGTCAATACACAGAAAGTCTAAGAATCTGACGAAGTGTCAATATCTGGTTGTTGTTTTAAACAGGCGTTTTGGCTTCGAGGACAACAACACATAACGTTTTGAGGTTGACCAGAAAATGGCATCAAAGGGCGTGCAAATCTCACCAAACTCAAAAACCCAGCCTGTTAAGACACACCCTGAGGGCGTGTCTTAACAGGCTGGGTTTTGCTTGCCTTGCCCGGTTTTGCCAGGAATACTTTTAAACTCTTAACAAATACCGTATGCTTCTTAAGCCTTTGCTTTTCTTAAACTCAAAAATTAAAACGTAAGAGCCAATCATAGCACGCCAAATCACCTCTTTGGGCAAAGCAAAGCAAACTGCAGAAAAACATGGCATGTTAAGACACACCCTCAGGGTGTGTCTTAACATGCCCCGTCAATCCTTTCGCAAAGCAAAAGTCAACTGGGGTGGCGAGGGTCTCTTATTCCTTCTTGTGGAGCGAGCCCAAGTCGAAAAAAAATTAGTTGAAAAGTAGCCTCACCTGAGGTTACTTTTCGTCTAGACAAATGTCTAGATGACAAGTGGCCAGATGCGGTGTGAATTTCATAGATGATGAAGTCCGCCTTGACCCCCACACAGGGGCCCCGGAGGCGCCACCTCCTGCGATCACGGCCCTGGCTATCGCCCCCACCTCTCCACCTCACGGCGCCTTTGTGTCATTTGAAGCCACCCAAGAAGCTCTCCGCTTAGGCGCTCGACTTGCTCCAGCCACCCTTCCCCCGCATGTCATCATCCCGGGCGTGGGACGTTGGACTTACATCTACCTTGCAGCTTCTGATACCTACGCCCTCAAGCGCGTACCGGCCCAAAACCGCCTCGTATACCAAGACCTCCAAATCCTCACAGCCCCGCTCTTGGACACTGCTCAGAACCTTTCTTCCTCCCCGGCTGCCGGGGTGGCCCGTCGCCTCACCCTTGAGTCCCATCGCCTGTTGCGACGCAACACAGCGACATCAGTACCCATGCGTTTTCGCAACACCCTAGCTGGTGCTCTCCAAACGACCGCCAGTAACCTGCATGCTGCCCTCAAAACAGTCCCCAAGGACCACACCCCGCGTCCTTCTTCTCAGACAACCCCTCTCCCGACGCCACACCCACGTCCCACCTCCCCCCGATATCCAAATGGGGACCCGCGACCTAACTGCACCACCTGCTGCCTACCCAACAACCTCAGATCGGCCCTCTTCGAACCCGGCGCCCGACATGACGGCTGCCCCACCCTCGTTGGATGATGCTGTTGATGCTGCAGTGTCGCCTTTGGCCACTCATGCAGCCCCAGCCGGCTCACAAACTCACGGCCACGCACAGCGCGCTCCCCAGTCCTCGATTCAACTGACCCCACACCCATTGGTATGGCCACCCCAAGCCCGCTGCCCCCCCCCCCAACGCCTCCAGCTCGCCGAAACCAGTATCCACCTCGTCCCTGACGCACGAAGCCACCCCAGTCCCCCATCTACCCACGCCCTTGGACCCTCTAAGACCGTACAGAAAAGGCATCTATCTCTAAGCACCCGGCGTAGGGTGTCTCAGGCCGCGCAGCGCCCTCGTCGACCCGATCCGGCGTTGAGGCCATCATGAGCGTTCCCGTGACTCATCCCGTTGCCCCGAATGCTCCGCCTGCCAGTTCACTGTATCCACATCTCCACCCCAACCTCCACTTGCCCTCAGTGGAGGACCTTCTCAGATCTCCCATCCGGCCATCAGACATATTCACCTCTATTCCTGGGTCTGTCTCCCCCGCATCCTCCTTCTTTTCATGAAACTCGTCCACCGTGCAGCTTCCTGCACAGATCCAGTCGACACTCATAAGACTTTCCTTCGCCTCCCCATGTTTCCGACAGTAGTTCTCCGTCGCGCTTTCAGAGGGGAACCTGGCTGGCGCACCAAATCTGGTCAACTAAAGGCTCTTTTCTCCCGTATCCGCCGTGCTGGCTCAATGCTGCAATGGCCAGCGCTATGGCATGAATCCCTCGAAGCGCACCATACCCGTCAGGAATGGCACGAACGCCACCCGGGACGTTCTGCCCCCCCGACCACACGCGCACGGCGTACTGCCCGTGCTACGCGCCTCGCGTCGCAAGCCCAATACTCGCGCGCCCTGCGTGCGCTCACGAACTCTCGGCTTGCCAATCTAGATGACCCCACCACCCTGACCACCCTTAAAGCGTTTCTCCCATTCCGTTGTCTGACCTACCACCTGCCCCGCAGGTGGAGGAAAATTCAGTATTGCGCGCTGTCCAACGCTTGAACCCCCACTCTGCTGCCGGACCAGATCGCATGTCCCCGCGCCTACTACATCTTCTAGCCAAGTCGCCTGTCAGCCCCGCGACTGGCATAACGGGCCTGGGCACTCTCACGCGCCTGGTCCGCAGCTTGGCGAGCGGTGACGTCCCCGAAGGCACAATGCCACTGATTGCCGCTGCCACACTACTCCCCATACAACAGCGCCCATCAAAAATCCGGCCGATAGCTATAGGCCAGTGCCTCAGGCGCCTCTTCATGAAAGTCCTCCTTGGTGCAGCCATATCTGCCACTCGTCACTACCTCCACCCGGAACAGCTAGCGAGCAGCGTGCAAAATGGCATGGATGCGCTCGTCCATGACGCTCGGATGCTAGCCGGTCGCCACGCAACGCAGTGTAAACATGGATTTAGCATCATCCATCGCCGTAATGCAGTTCGATCCACGCTAGTGCGACATTTATTCCGTGCAGCAGGAAGGGAATGCAAGATCGAAGTTCCGATTCTGATCCCCCATACACAACACCGCCCAGCTGATGCGCTAGTCCAACCTTCTCCACCGCCACCGGGCGCGTTACCCGAAAAGCCTACCGCCTATGATGTAACCGTTCGCAGTCCGTATGCCCAAGCCGTTCTGAGACAAGCTGCTCAATACCCCGCCGCGGCCGCTGAAGCTAGGCACTGCACAAAAATTGCAGCCCTCAAACGCACGGTACATGACGCGTTGC